ATTACTTTGAACCAAACCCAAAGCCTATATATTTTCTAAAACTATTGAATCAGAATCTCTTTGACATTTTATCCAGCATAAGTCTCCAGCAGAATTCAGATGTTTTACTGGCAAAACTATTGATCTACCCTTTGGTTTTATTGTTTTCAATAGAATTGGCATGGGAGCAACAGCCTCACCTCTGAAAGTAAATGAACATGCTTCAGTAGATTCTCAAACCTTGTCTAAATTAACAATTTTGTTACTATTTGCCGAATTGCAGAAGAGAGATAATGTTCATTTCAAATGCACACAGAGTGTTCAGATTTGGCCTCAGTGTTTCAAAGACAAATTTTCCAAGGAGGTCATAACTAATGAAGCTTTCAAATAAATGACCATCCAGATCACCTGGTTCTTTGCTTGCTGCTGTTTCATTCACCTAAATTGGGCCCTGCCACCTCAGCCCCTTTTCTGCCTGGCACACTCTTATACATCTTTTAGTTGTAAGCACAAATGTCATTTTCTCCAACAAGTTTTCTCAAATTGCCCTTATGTAGTTCTAAAACTCTTCTCTGTGCCCTCATCCCTACATTGTTCTTCTCAGTCCTCCACTGATAGCTTTCATGTAACAAAACTGTCTCCTTCACTACATTGAACATTTGGAGGACTGAGAACCATGGCTTTTACATCTTCCCATCTTCATTGCATTGCATAGTAACTGATATATGTACTCAGACTGTTGAATAAATTCATGCCTGCACAGGTAAATACATGGGATTGATACCTATTGCTGGATACTGAACTATAACTGAATGACACATCACTGTGAAGTGCCACCTTTAAAGAAATATTAATACTTCTCCTCACAAATGGTCTTCTTTACCATCTGTCACATCTCACCCCAGCCTTGGGCAGGGCAAGCAGACTAGCTGCTCACATTTGAAATTTGAGAGACTAAATTAATAGTCTCAAATTTTTCAGAAAGCCTAAGTTAACAAAGCCTCATATACAATAAGGAAGACAGGGAAGAAAATACAACCCCATCTTACAATAACCAAAGAAAAATGGACTGACAGACTAAAGTCTAGAACCTAGGTCTTCTGACCTCCACCTTAATACTTCAGCATTCATACCACAAACTTTAGCCATTTAGTTTCCATGCCTATGACCAGTCTTCCAAACTGGAACATAAACTCTCCCAGGAAACTGCCTGAGTAATACTTCTCTTATCTGTCCCTACTCTGGTTTCTCTTCAGATCATATAAATCTTGTCTGTCCCTTAGGCAGAGAATTTAGGCTATGAATTTAGGATTTCTGGAAATTTTGAGACTGCTAATTCCCTTTAAAAATTAGGAGCCTGTTTGCAGTTCTCAAATCCAAAATATAAGCATCTGTTTGTCCTACCCAGCTCAGCAAAAGAAAACAATTTATTCAACTAGCCTACTCTTTTTTTTCCCCCTACTCTTAAATATCAGCTCTTAGGAACCTTTCTTCCTTTTCCAGGTGGGTAGATACAGTGGCAAATCTCACAGTAAATATCATCTTGTTTCTTTTTAGCATCACCTGGGTGGAAAGCTATCACAATGATTGACATTTCTCCTAGGCATACACCTTCTTACCAATTGCTGCTTTTCCAAGTAACCCAATTAATTATCAAGTCATTGCTTTGATCTAGTCCCTTTTTTCCTGTGATGCCTATATACAGGTTGAGAAGAAGAAGCACTAAATCAATTCCATTGGAGGTTCCTTGCAAATGGGAAAATGCTTAGTCAACTGGTTATGTAGTTAGGGTTGCCAATCCCTTCCTCCTTCTCTTTAGTGTTTTCCACCTCCAGGGCCTGCAGACAGATGCTTAGCCCCCACTCTTTTCTCATACAGCAGTTGAAAGGACCTTTAGAAACTGCTAAAACTGAGAGCTCCCTATGCATGCCTCTATCACTTCAGACCTTACATCTCCTGGGAAGAACATAGACACTCAAGAAATACTGAATAAATGAAATACCCTAAATTCATTTTGAAAGCAGATATGACATGCCCAATGTCATATAATGAATGTTTAGATAAATAAATTAGTTCTTGACAGTGGTTTAATGTGTAGTTCTTTTTCCAAATAGAATTCACATTTTTAAATAGGGTTCCTCCTGCCTTTACTTAAAAGAATGATTTAATAGTGGGAACTGTGAGGGGCTCAGAAGAGGTAATAAGTTCACAGCTGTGTCTTCCAGGTAAGTCTTGTGATATATAATTGGAAGTTCTATCTGAAAGACTTGCTAGTAATCATTTGGTGGGAGAGTAGGTTGTCTCATCTTTTCCTATTCTTTGTATTCTTCAGAGACAGGGATTGCTGGAGGTTGGGTCATCTACTATGGCCATTTTGGCAGCCTTACTACTTTTACCATTGCTTTGTTTTAAGAGTGATCTTGCAATGCTATTGCATGGATGGAATTGGTGGAATGTCTCTAGTTCCCTGACAATGAAAGGATGGAAAGAATTGGCATCATAAGTTAGGGTTCTGGTTCATTCAGGGCACCGAGTTGCTACAAGAAGAGAAAAGCCAGAAAGAAATGCCCATACCTAACACAGTGACGTTGATGACACCTTGGTTTTGGCCGGAGAAGTCCGGGGGGTTGTTAACATCACAGGTGTAAATTCCACTGTCTGCTGGTTGTATATGTGATATGGTTATAGACGCATTACCTGGACTGGTGGAACCTACAACTCGATCTTTGAATTGCCCGATGCCTGAAGCTTCTCCACCTTCAGAATAGTAAACCTAGGACAGAAAAATCACAGAAGTGAAAATGGGAGTATGTTCAGAACTAGAATAAGCTTCCCAGAAGCTCATATTCATGTTAATTTTGATAAAGAAGCAGCATTTTCCCTCTACAAAAAACAAATCCCAGTAGCCAAAAGGTCTCAATACAGAGGGACACAGAATTTTTCTAACTACTCACGGCCATTATCTCACTTGAACCTCAAAGCAGCTCTTTGATGTCATCAAATCAGGGGAAGGGACAGCTGGAGCCTGTAAGATTCAACTCCTAAACCTAGGTTAAGTGATCAAGGTGTGCACCTGCGTGAATCTACCTGAAGGAAAGTATCCTGTAAGACACAGATGTCTGATGGGGGCCCAAGATATCATTTTATACTCCTTTGAATGAGTGAACTTGGATTTGTTTGTTAAAGTATAGGATTTCAGAGCAGAAAGTTCCCTGAGAATTCATCCGGATCCATCCTCACCTAGTAGTGGTATAAGTATGAAACAGTGTGAGCTAATAAAAGGCATAGGAAGTGCTTACTCATTCATAGATACCATCTTTCTCCCAATGACAAATAAGTAAACTCAGACCTAGAGAGATTAAATGACTCATCTGCAGCCACAGGATTCATTTATTATTACTGTAACTTAGTAGATTTAGGAAAGATCTGTATGCCAATCCCCCCATTAGTGAACATGGACTCTTAGATCATAATGGCATCTATGGGCAGGCACAGCATGATAAGGTAAAAAGAGACTTGGTCTAGCAGTCAGATGGTGCACATTTGGCCATGGCACTGCCTCTGAATGTGACATCACATCAAAGGATGTGGCCTCTAGTCATACCTCCATGCCAACCTCCTCTGTGATAAGAAACAAAGTTATTTAATCTCTCTAAACTTTAGTTTCCATATCTGAATGAGGAACCAGAATAATATTTTACAATGTATGCTATGTAGTCCCAGAATTTAAATTGATTTTAGGTGGTACCAAAAGGAAAAGCTACTAATTTTAATGTGTTAGAAAGAGATGTATCTAACACAGCAAATAGGTAACTTCACAAATATTGCTCTTTGGGGTGGGCTATATGATTTTTAAGATTTTAAGATATACCAAATCAATACAGAAAATAACATTAAACAATAATACCAATGATACACAAACATGACAGAAATCATAAAGAGGATACATATGCATGAGTATCCCATGACTAAACATGGGAAATCACTAGATTAGATAGTCCCTGGAATCCAGTCATAATTTACATCTTAAGAGTGAACACTGTTAGTTTCATATAAATGTCTCATTCAATGATTGTTTATGTTTTTAGTAAACTGACATTGCCTTAGTCCAATGAAACTAATCATTTTCATAAAATGTACTAAAAGAATCTTAGAGCTCATTTAATTTCCTCCTTTCACTTTCAGAAGACATTCAGAGAGGTTAAAAATATATCTACACACACAACAGTTTAGGCCAGAATAGAATCCACTTTATCTAATTCCTTGTTCAGGACTCTACTTAACTGATCAACAAAAGAAAGAAACTAGAAGACAAAAGCATATTGTCAAGGTGAATTCATATACCTTCTCCTTTAATTATAAAATCAACATAGTTTAAGACAAAGACAGAAAGGTAGCTTTTGAAGGAAAAATTCAAAGAAACAAGCATATTTAAAGAGAAAACAATGTCATTAATACCTGGTGAAATCACAAACTTTTGCCCAGAATGATTTTGTTTGACTTACAAATCAGAAAAACAGTATTAATTCAAGGTACTCAAGTGAGATAGGAGAAGTTCAACTCATTAAAGGTCTTGGCTTTCCTTTGACTAGTTAATACAAAGCTTACTTACTTGCTAATTGAAAAATTGAAGTTATTGCTACTTACCTACAATGTAGCCTGCTATCCATCAAGAAAGCCCCTTATAACCTGAACATCTGGCCACCTCCTCAGCTCCTATGAAAACTGGGTCCAGGTCAGCCCTCTTTTATAGTAATGCCTTTATGACATCACAGTGAGAAACAGTATCAGGCCAGAGTCCCAGAGGACTGCATAGATAGGGGGCCAATGGTATATTTTAGGCCAGGACTAGGACATAAAAAAGCCACTATAAAAGCTTCTTAGTTTAATGTGAATCAAGTTGAAATTAGCAAATAAGCACTGACGTACTGGACCTGTAACTTATTAATGACAAGGGCCTTCACCACACCCTAGCTCTTCACATTGCAGTCTAATGGATTTTTCCCCTCATAATTGACACTAAATGACAGGAATTGGAGTAAGGAGGGAAAGCAGTGAAGCCTTAAAGGGAAAGACCTTGGTCTCAGGATGCTGTGTGAAAAGGAAAGTTCCCAGGGCTACACAGCAGCCAGACACAGAGATGGAGACATTTTCTGTTAGGGGAAGTCCATTCTGTCACACTATCCTTATAAACAAAAATTTAAAAAAGAAATATTTTCCTGAAACAGCTTATCAAATCACACAAGAAAGACTGCAACTTGGCTCCAGTTTCCACAAAAGAGTAATTCTTTCAGAGACCCAGTCCTAGCCCAGGTCCGGTGAGTGTGCGGAGAGTTTCCTGCTACCCTGC